CTGGCCAGGCTGGAAGCCAGCACTCCATCTAGGTTGCTAGCATGGGTGGCAGAGACCCAACTCCTGCAGACATGACCTGCTGCCTCTCCACAGGAAGGCACAACCAAAGATCAGACTCGGCGCCAGCACAGTGGCCTAGGAGGCTAATCCTCTGACTGCCAGCACCAGCATCCCACATGAGCAATGGTTAAACCCAGCCGCTCCACTTATGATCCAGCTTCCTGCTTATGGACTAGAAAGGCAAAGGAGGATGGCCCAAGTCCTTGGGTCCTTGCACCCACATGGGAGACCTAGAAAAAAGCTCCTGACTCCCAGTTTCAGATCAACCCAGCTCCAGCCATTACAGCCACTTGGGGAGTGAACAGCAATGGAAGATCTGTCTCGCCCCCTTCCTCTGTAATTAACTTTCCAAGAGAATAGATACATAAGTCTTGAAAATAATCAGATACAGGTCTCAATCCAGACACTGCAATATGTGGACCATAAACATCTTCACCACTAGACCAAATGCCAACTACAATACAACTGTCTTCACCTGTGCTTAGGAGAGCATTGGGATCCCCATTCTTCCTGCTCTGGGGTTTGCTTTCCTATAGCCACACGCACTTCTAAGACACACAGCCTCTCCAGTGTGACAGTTACTCCAATGCCAGTGTCATCCGTTCCTAGCACACATCAACTTCTAACCTCACCTCACCTCTTGCCTTAAAGCTTCTTGAGCCTCTGTGAGAAATACAATGTCAGTTTTTATTTCTGCAGCATGGATCATGTGGCTCCATGCCCAGTGAGTGCCCCAGCAACAGCTCTCTGGGGAGAAGCAACCAGCCAGCTTCAGTGGCACCAACGCTGACCCAAGCCACCCTCACCTCCCCACTGGCATCTCAACACTATTTGGCCAGAAAGGTGACAAGCCCCAGAGCTCCGGTGTGTCACCCTGGAAGACAGGATGCAGAAAGCAGGAGGAACCCTGAGCAATTCCTGGCAGGCAGGCAGGCAGGCAGGCAGGCACAGGCATCAAGCCCTAAATGAGATAACAGTGACGCAGGCCAGACCCCATACCAGACAAGTGTATTATCAGACTTGCTTAGTTCTCACAGTAAGCTTCTCAGAATCACTTGTCTGTGTTGCAGACAAAAACTGAGCTTGTCCAGGCCTTCAAAACTTGGTATTTGAGGTTCCAAGTGAGGATTCCACCCAGGAAGAACCAAGTCTTCCTCCAAGTCTTTCTGGAGTCCCACAACAGAGAAGATAGGGCCCGAAAAAGGACATCTCCGATGGCTCTCGGTATAGCACTTTCCACAGCACAGCCTGACTGCTCTTGCAGCTTAACTTTCGCATCGGCAGAGGGTGAGAGTTCACAGCTGCTTGCTCACTCCCTTGTAACGGTCAGGCTGATGCCAGGAACTCTCTCCATGTCTCTCACGAAAGCGGCGAGGAGCCAAGTCCTTGGATCATCACCACTGCCTCCAGTGTAAGACCAGGAAGCTGGAGGCAGGAGATGTAGGCAGGAGCTATCCAAGAGAAGCCCTCTGGAGCCGTGTGGTCGCCAGTTCATGTTCCTGCTGCTCAGCTCCTGACTCATGGACCAGGAAATGCAGTGGAACGTGACCAAGTCTCTGGGCTCTTGCCACCCATGGAGGAGACCCAGATGAAGCGCCAAGCTCCAGCCTGGCCAGGCCCTGGATGTTGCAGCCATTTAAGCAATAAACTCGTAGACAGGGGATCTATCTACAACTCCTCCAAACACAGAAAGATAGAAAAGGGGAAAGAGAGAAGAAGAAATGAGATATTCTGGTTAGAGACTCCAGTTAGTGTCTTAACCACTAAGTTTAATGGCTGCCATTGCACGCCCGGGATCCCATATGGGCACCAGTTCTAATCCCGCCGGCCCCGCTTCCCTTCCAGCTCCCTGCCTGTGGCCTCGGAAAGCAGTCGAGGACAGCCCAAAGCTTTGGGACCCTGTGCCCCTGTGGGAGTCCCGGAAGAGGCTCCTGGCTTCGGATAGGCATAGTATCGGTCGTTGGGCTCACTTGGGGAGTGAATCATCGGATGGAAGATCTTCCTCTCTGTCTCTCCTCTCTGTATATCCGCCTTTCCAAAAAAAATTAAATAAATAAATAAATAATAAAACTTTTTAAAAAATGCTTATCCCAGAGACGTTCAGCCCCATGGCTCTGGCATAGGTTGGGAGGCCTGTGCACAACAGAGTATGTGGGTTACAGTTCCAGCTTTACACCAGTTTCAGCATTCTGGGAGACATCAATGATGGTTCCAGTAGCTGGGTCCCTGCCACCCAGAGGAGACATCACACTCAGCTTCCAGCTCCCAGCTTGTGCCTGACTGAGTCATAATGGGCAACAGCGCACTAACCCAGCAAATGGGGAGAACATACTTTTGCCCTCAACTCCCTGATTGTCAAATAATTAATCAAAGGGAAAAAAAAGAGGCTCCTCCCCATAACCTACAGTGGCTGCCTCCTCAGAGTTCACACCAACAGGTCTGACAGCTAACACATACACTGCACTGGACAAGAACACAGGGCAAAGTGCATCAACGTGCAGCCAGTGGAACATGCAGGTGGCACAGAATGGGGCTGAAGGACAGGGTGTGACCACTAAACATTTTGAGACATGGACTAGCCCATTCAAATAATTTCTCCTTTATAAACAAATTACTCTGGGCCAATTACAGTAGCCTGAAGTCTTTGCCTTACATGTACCAAGATCCCATATGAATGGCAGCTCTGTGCCAGCGACTCCACTTCCCATTCAGCTCCTTGCTTGTGGCAAAGCAGCAGAGGATGACAAAGCCTTGGAACCCTGCACCTGCATGGGAGACCCTGAAGAAGCTCTTGGCTCCTGGCTTCAGATCAGCTCAGCTCCAAATGTTGCACCCACGTGGAGAAAAAAAAAAAACAGTGGACAGAAGATTTTTCTCTGTAATTCTACCTTTCTAATAAAAATTTTAAAAATAAAATAAACCTTGGGGCCCTGCACAGGGCAAAGTAATCTAAGCCTCCACCTACAGTGCGAGCATCACATGAGTGCTGGCTCATGCCCCAGCTCTGCTTAGATACAGGTCTCTGTTAATGGCCTGAGAAAGCAGTGGAGAATGGCCCAAGTCCTTAGGTCTCAAAACCTGCGTGAGAGACCGAACAAGCTTCCAGGTCCTGGTTTCAGGTCAGCACAGCTCCAGCCGTGTGGCCATTTGAGAAGTGAACCAGCAGATGAAAGATCTTCCTCTGTCCCTTTGTAAACTCTGCCTTTCAAGTACTGATTCATTTCCAAAATATAATCTTGACCTTCCCTTACCACCACCAAACTGAAGTCTTAGTTAAAAAAAAAAAATTAGAAAGTTCCATTTTTTAAATGGAACATGCAGTACCAGCAATGAAATGATAAAAGATAAAGAGACGAGAATGTTTGATCTTTAGAATAGCCTAAAGAGAAGTGCTCCGACAAGACAATCAAACTGGGACGGCGAGCAGTGAGACCCCAGAGTATTTCCTTTTATGGGTAACAAACTCATGTTGATCATCCACCCAAGGCCACTGGCACGTTTCCTGCCCTCCAACCCCCTGAGCCAAAGTCAGAGGGGGCACAAAACTGTGAGCAGCTCAGCAGGACAGGCCTAGAAGTTCTCCTTGACCCCTCGCTGCCACATTGTCTGAACCTTCTCCATTTATAGCCCTTCTCTTAAATGACCAAGCAGGACCAGCACCCTAGCCTAGCAGGTCAAACAGCAGCTAAGACATCTCACTCCCTGTCAGAGCGCCTGAGTTCAATCCTGACTCCAGCTTCCACCTAACACACACCCAGGGAGATGGCAGAGGGGCTCAGTTAACAGAGCTCTCACCACCCATATCCCTCACAACAGAAACCTGGATGGAGCTCCTGGCTGCAGTGCAAGCCATTGACAGCACCCAGTGCAATGAACTGGCCAGTGGGAGCTCTCAATCTGCCTCTCTCCAACAAACAGAAGCAAAACTGAAATACAAAGTAATTGAACAAGTCAGTCAGGAAGAACTGATTCAGGAATTATCTAAAAAGAAAAAGCAGCTCTTCGGGCCCCTCTATGTGGTTGTACCTATTGAAACCACGAAGTTCATTTGTACATAGGGATTTTAATAGTCTTCTTAATGAAGTGGACAAAGGGAAACATATTTCCAGGCATATTGAGAATACGAATATAAAAATTCTCTTCCCTACCCAAAATCAGCATTATTCTCTTCTCATAGGGCCAAGACAAAAATGGCCAACAACTTGCATGTTACTTTTTCTCCCTCAAGAACAGACACAAAATTTAGAAAAGGTTAGAGCCAATTATTTCTCTGGCTTCATTTCAACACTTAAGATGACGAACTTGAAACATTGTTAAATATATCCCACGTTCCAGCAGCAGTCATCTATTTACTCCCGGAAATCCTGGCTAACAACCAGCCCCTTCCATGCAGTCTGTGGTCTGCTCATCTTCGTTACTATGTAACACACAACATGGCCACACAAAACCCCACACTCTAAGGACACTGGCACACAACAGCAGCTCGATAAATCCTTGTGAAATGGAAGGAAATTCCAAATAAACACTCCAAAATTCTTTTCCTAGTTTCACTGGTATCAGGGTTTAAGATTAGATACGCTGCCATGCCATATGGTAAAGCTATACAGTCTGTCACAAACCTGAGGTGTAATCAGAAATAACGGCATTCCCTGCAGGGATAAGATCCTCCTTTTCAGAGTAAATCTGCTGTTTGATTAAAGATATTTTTACAGCTCTGAGTGGCAATGAGCAGCAAATGATGTTTGCCAATGGTTTTACTGCCCTGCCCAAGTGTTTTTGTTTTGTATTTAATTCCATACCCCCAAAGGGGAGAAAGTCCATTTAAAACATGAAACAACAGATGGTTTGTGGCAGCCTCCCTTCTGAAGAGGCCAATTGTGAATGAAGTGCGCCCTGACGCAGCCACGCTTTGTTTACTATGTGTATACTCAAACACCAACCTTTACAGCTCCAAGTTGCTCTTTTCTGAATTTTTCCAAGGGCTTAATCAGGGTTTCAGTTACACTTAATGCCTAGAAAACAAGACAGGCAACAAAAGAATACAATGTTAGGTTTACAAATTAGAAAACATTACTATTTCGTTGATCCTGTTCCACCCTGCCCAGAAATAAAAACAGATTTAACTGCTTTGTTTCATCCTGCTGGTGCAACAATTAAAGCACTTCAACATATTAAAGCACTCAGACTCTCTAAATATTTTCAGGGAAGCAGAGGTGGCACACCCAGCCAGCAAAACATGCAACAGAGTCAGTCCCACAGCGCTCCCACCAAGGAACAACCAGGCCTGCAACAATGCGGTCTATCACATTCATTAACAGAACACTTCTGTTTGAGATTGTTTTTTCCTCCCCCTCCTCAGAAATTTAAAATTCAATTACATTCCTTTATTGGTAATCAGACTACATTATGGAGAGGCCCAGGATGGTGTCTGCCCAGTTAAATACAGCCACTCTGCCTTCAATACTGCAAATTAACCTTAAGCCCAGCAGAGTCAGCGGAAGTTCACAAAGCCAGAGCAAACCCTGGGGTGCACTGACCAACATGACGTCAGGGAGATGGGGACATGGTAAGGACCACCCGCAACTTTCAAACATAATCACATTCTCTTCTTACAGTGACTTTGGTTTTAAGTCAGAATGTGAAAAACATGAAGAAAAGGGGGTACTCCGGCAAGCAGAACATATTAACAACAATATGCTGCTGAAAAATACTGGGAATAGAAAGTGAAAATATCGCTAAACACTGGCTGCACAACAATGTGGCATTTTTTTGTTCTGTTTTGTTTTGTTTTACAAAAGCCACCCAAATCCAAGGCTGAAAAACTGACTTGGAATACAAAAAGATTCTTAACTTAAAGCTATTTCCACAAGGACACACAGTCAGGATGCACCAGGCTGTCCCCTCCCACCCCCCACCCCCGGGTGCTACCCACACCCACCTCGGTCATCTGTCCTGCAAAGAGCTGGGGCAACAAAGTTAAAAGGAAGAATTAAGAGGAGGAGCTAGCCAGGGAAAGCATCTGCCCCCAAATATTTCCACGATGTCCTCTCTCCATTGTAGAGCCTGTGACCCAAGAGAGCCAGGTCGAGTTTTGCACAGTCGAGAGCAGAGCAGGGACCCATCAGCACAGGCCAGAAACCCCGAAGACACAAAGAATATGAAATGTCCCCAGTTCCTTACCGGACAGCATATACAAGAAGTGGGAATCACTTCTTTGCCAAGAGCCACATGGATAACATCATTCACAGGCCACACAGAATTATCACCTTAAAAATTAGCCTGAAATAGATTTATTCAATCTTGAGTCCCACCTGTGCTTGCCTCAGTAGAGCCAGATCAAATGATTTCCAAGGCCTCAAAGAGCCAGCCCACCAGCCAAAACCCCACCCTGATAAAACAGTTCTGCCACACATTTTCAATACAATCCAACTGAACAATGTCTCTCAGTCTCATTTTTGACAGATTTATACAAGTATCTGTGCCACATGCTTTGCTCCTGCATCTGGACCCAGCCTCATGGCTTCCTGAACAAGCCTACAAGTAATCCACTTCAATGGAGACTGGCATTCAAGAAAGTGCAGTGACGCAGGCTGAGACCACAGCAGGGGACATGGAAGCGTAGGAACACGGCATGAGAATGGTTAACAGCCTGAGCCCAGGCTTAACCAACCAACACTTCAGGAAAGGTAGCCAAAGGGCCCTTCCACACTCAAAGCAGTCATCACGAACTCTGAATTTCAGGGGACAAGTATTTCCTAGGGATCCTGGGCCTGATTCAACCATGAATACAAACACACACTCCTCCCCTTAAGAAGAGCAAAGGCTGAAACAGCTTGAATGGGGGGCGGGGGGGGGGGGGCCCACAAGGGTCCATGTATCAGGGGCATAATGTCCAGAGTCTTACATTAACTTTGTTTAAATTATTTATTTGTTTAAATTTATTTATCTGAAGGGGGCCACAACAGCCAGGACTGGGCCAGGCAAAAACCAGGAACTTCCAGCAGGTCTTCCACGTGGGTGACAGGGTCACCTTCTGCTGCTTTTCCCAGGTCATTAGTAGGAAGCTGAATGGGAAGTGAAGCAGCCAGAATACAAGCACAAATCCCAGTGCTCACAGGAGATGCTTACAGCTGCTTTACCCACTACGCCACAACACTGGCCACACATTTTTTAAATTAAGGATGGAGCATAAATCTTTTTTTGGAGTTTAATCCTTTTATGGTATGAAAAGATGGCACTTCAGAAACAGTGATTTGTGTTACACTATATTAGGCTGCCAGGGTGAGTCCTAAAGGCTTTATTATGAAGATTGCATGAAGGAAAGATAAAAACCGTGCTCAGTGTCTCCCTGTGGCCTGGCTCACCACGGACACTTGCCATGTATGTGTTCTTCCTTCGTCAGATGCCAGACTGATAGATGACTGCCTCATCTTGGACCATGACCCTCCTGAACTCCAGGTCAAAACCACCGCTCTTCCTAAGAACTCCCCTCTATACTTGTACTGAAGAGAGGAAAAGCTGAGTAGCAGCAATGTATAATAAGCATGCACACACTGCAAATTCTGGTAATTCTTTCCAATGAGGGAAATAGGGTATGGTGAGTGAGTCAGCAGAGGAGGCCTAAGGGGAAAAACAAATGCTTGGGAGGAGCTGCTCCCAAGATCTGGAAGGTGAGAAGGAATCAGGGTGCACAGAACAAAGGCAACTTTTCAGCTACAGAAGCAGGGGTGAAAGAAAGAACAAGTGAGCACCAGCTCATGTCCCAGTTGCTCTACTTCCCATCCAGCTCCCTGCTTGTGGTCTGGGAAAGCCCAAGGCCTTGGCACCCTGTACGCATATGTGAGACCCAGAGGAGGTTCCCGGCTTAGGATTGGCTCAGCTTTAGCCATCTGGAGAGTGAACCAGCAGATGGAAGATCTTTGTATCTCTCCTTCTCCCTATAAATCTGATCTGCCTTTCCTATAAAAATAAACCTTTGAAAATAAAATAAAAAGAACAGCTCATGTGCTATGACAAATGTCAAAAAGCCAGTGTAGATGGGGCATAAGGGACAACGAAGGAAGCGGGGAAGAGATGAGTGATGGTGGATGGCCAGGACATGCTAAGATCCATAGGATTGGGCCCAGCGTGGTGGCCTAGCAGCAAAAGTCCTCACCTTGAATGTGCTGGGACCCCATATGGGTGCCAGTTCTAATCCCGGCAGCTCCACTTCCCATCCAGCTCCCTGCCTGTGGCCTGGGAAAGCAGTCGAGGCCGGCCCAAAGCCTTGGGACCCTGCACCCGCATGGGAGACCCGGAACAGGCTCCTGGCTTCAGGCCAGCGCAGCACTAGCCATTGTGCACACTTGGGGAGTGAATCATCAGAACTCTCCTCCTCTCTATATATTTGACTTCGCAATAAAAATAAACAAATCTTTTTAAAAAAAAGATCCGTAGGCTCTGGCAGAAACTTAGTCACTGAAAGGTACTCTGCTTTCATTTTTAATTTACTTTTATTTATATATAATTAGATTTTTTCAACTACTAGCTCACTCCCTCAAATGACTACAACGATTAGGGCTTGGCTAAGACATCAGTGGCAAGGACTCAATCAACTGAACCCCTGTGCATTATCACACACCCGAAATCCAAAGAACCACCAGAACTTGATCCCAGGCACTCCAACATGGAATGTGGGTTTTTCTAAATGGTATCTTACCTACTTTCGCACAGTATGCCCAACCTCATCGGAGGGTTTTTTTTTTTTTTTTTGGTTTGTTTGTTTTTTGCAAGAAAGTGACACAATGATAATGAGATCTGTAAAAGACTACTTCTGGTTGCTCTGTGACAAAGAGACTACCGTTGGTATGTAAGCCTGGGAGAGAGGGGCTCTGGAGTAGCACAGGCAAGAGTGGTTTGAGGGCAAACAGGTATGAAAGAAGTCTATAGGTGGAATCCACAGAACAGGTAATGAACAAAGGGCAGAAAAGGCAGAATCTCTCAGGATCATTCCTGGATTTTCCTGCATGAGCAACTGAAGAGACATTACTACTCCTTACTGCACAAGGACAATCTGGAGCACAAGCAGCCAGAATACGCCAAGCTTTGAGTTGCCAAGGTGGGCATTTGGCTCAGCAGTTCAGACACGATGTGAGGGGTTAGCATCCCATCCTGAAGCACCTGGAGTAGAATTCCTCCTCTAACTCCCAACTCCAGTTTTCTGATAATGCACAGCCTGGGAAGCAGCAGATAATGACTCGAGTATTTCAGCTCCTGCGAAGGAATACAGATGAAGTCCCTGTTCTGACTTTTGCCTGATTCAGATCCAGCTATTGCAAGCATGTGATGGTTAAACCAATGTGGATGGATGGATACACACAAAGATAGATAAACCATCTTTCCCCTTTTCAAATAAATGTTTTTAAATGTGAAAAATACCAGGGATTTCAGCAAGTTGCTCACACTTGAGGCTCATGCCTACAAGTCAGATGAAATACAGAAATTTGCCAATCTTTAACAAGTAGATGACACTTTAATTCATTCAATGAGATACACAGGATGTGGGAGAGGAAAGCACAGGTCGCAGACCAGGCACGCATCAGCAGAAGGTAACAACAGACTAGGAAGCAGCCACCCAGATGCTGGATCAAGCAAGAAAGGGGCTGAGTGCCATGAACTACAGAGAAGCCCAACAAAGAATGAGGCTCTGGAAGGCACAGAAGCCTGGAGATCACGAGGGGACCCACAGGCTTCAGGACAGCATGGAGTGACACTGGCTTGCTGGCTGGGAACACAGGTAAGGTGCAAATGGCTTTTTTCTTCCCTCAGTTGGAGGTTGGTGCCGTAGAGACTGGAACACATCTCAGTATGAAGGATCAGGTGTGTCCGCACACCAGCATTACACACCTGTGAAGTGCCGGCCAGCTTCACAGATCCACTAGGCAGACAGGAGAAAGCTCCTGGGTCAGGAAAGCCTTCCAAGATGCTGCAAACTGAGTCGGAATATGTCGGGATAGGGAGGGCTCTACACAGA